TATCAATTATACATGATCTGATGATATTATAAACAAGAACGTGTTTGTTAAACACAAATGCCCCCGGCTCAGATTCTTGTCAGTAACAATATTTAAAATAAAGGCTGTATGGGCAAAAGTGTAAACAAGAATGTCGAACGACACATATACCCCCCTTTCTAGCCATTGACTCACATAATTGGTAATTTTATTAAAGAAACTTGCCAAAAATGGGTACATGGAAGTGTTCAATTATGGAAAAATCAACGGAAACCATTTTGACATTTAAGGCCCATGTGACATTGACCTTTGACCTAATGACCCCTAAATCAATAGAGGTCATCTAATACTTATGACCAATAACTAGGTGAAATATGAAGACTTTGTGATGAATACTTTTCAAGATAATCAGCGAAAACCCTTTTGACATTTAAGGCCCCTGTGACCTTGACCTTTGACCTAGTGACCCCAAGATCAATAGGGGTCATCTACTAGTGATGACCAATCACTATGTGAAATATGAAGACTTTGTGATACATACTTTTTAAGATAATCAGCGGAAACCATTTTGACATTTAAGGTCCCTGTGACCTTGACCTTTGACCTAGTGACCCCAAAATCAATAGGGGTCATCTACTAGTTATGACCAATCACTATGTAAAATATGAAGACTTTGTAATAAATACTTTTCAAGATAATCAGCGGAAACCATGTGGTCTACCGACGGACAGACCGACGGACGGACCGACAGACAGACCGACATTAGCAAAACAATATACCCCCTCTTCTTCGAAGGGGGGCATAAAAATCTATTTTTAGCACTAGTGACCTTGACCAATCTGACCCCTAACTCCATCCAAAGGAAGAATATCATGCAACTAATTTTGCTACTAAATATGAAATAAATCTGTCAATATATAAAGGCTGTATGGGCAAAAGTGTAAAAATCTATTTTTAGCACTGTTGACCTTGACCCAACTGACCCCTAACTCCATCCAAAGAAAGAATACCATGTAAGTTATCTTCCTACCAATTATAATACAAATCTGTCAATAAATAAAGGCTGTATGAGCAAAAGTGTAAAAATCTATTTTAAGCACTGGTGACCTTGACCCAACTGACCCCTACCTCCATCCAAATGAGAATACCTCAATTTTATGTTCCTACACAATATACAAGACATCTGTCGATAGATAAAGGTTAATACACCTGTAAAAGTGTTAAAAAATCCATTTTTGACATTGGTGACCTTGACCCAAATGACCCCTTACTAAAGGAAAAGGAAGAGGACTTCCCTTGGTATGACTATTATAAACATGAAAGACATTAACTTAAAAATAAAAGCTGTATGAGCAGAAATGTTTAGATTTATTTTTTACACAAGTGACATTGACCTTGACGTAGAGACGCCTAACGCCACAAAATATTAGAGGACCGTTAAAGGTATCCACCTACCAAATATGAATGATATCATTAAATAAATTAAGTAATTAGGTGAAATTTTTTGATAAATCCAACTTGGCGGAATAGGTTAATCATACAAGGCCCTATTTTCAAAGTGATAAACAAGGAAATTACTGGGAAAATGGATGGCACATTTATATAACTTGGCAATATCATGTACATTGTATTGATAAGTAAGTATGAAAATTATTAAGCCATTAGTTCAGATAGAACATAAGATATTTCCAACTTTCCGGTTTAGGTTAACCATTATTCATTTTCTAAGTGCTGAAAAGGGAAATAACTTGGTGCAAATGAAAGTCATTGTTATGTAACTTGCCCAGATCATATCCTTTGTATGGATTAGTAAGTATGTAAATTATGAAGCCATTGGTACAGGTAGAACTTAAGAAAAATCCAACTTGCCGTTCTAGGTTAACCTCGTACGTACGGACAGACGGACGGACGTTTCAATTACTATATGCAATTATTATAATTACAAGCAATCCATAAGTCCCCTACCGGTAAGAACCCGAGCAACATTCTGAAGGGCCATTGGCCATTCACGTATGTTTCTATTTTAAGTAAATTTATTGAAAAAGTTCTTTAAAAGTGATCACAGGAAACAATTTTTATGTACAGACAGCTAAACACTCTAGAAAGTTATATTTTTAAACATCCCTGTTATCAAAATATAACATTTTTAAAAGCAAAATTCTTACAAAGGAGATAACTCTTGAAATAAAGACGCAAGACGTCATACATGATGTGAGTGTAACAAAGAACAATTAGTAATGAAGGTATTGATGATGAATGTTTATTTTGAATTTGAAGTAAAAGAAAGTTAAAAGTGTCGCTAACATAGCGATTATGTAATGAATACTTGGTATTTAAATGCTGTTCTTTGAATATGCTCCTTTTAACTTTATTGTATGTTGATACTCCGTTTATTGCTCCTTTGGTTTTCGCGCCAAAGTTTTATTATATTACATTGCTCCTTTTAACTTTCCCGCCACAAACATATTCACGTGCTTTTCATGATAGCTTTGTATAAATAGAGACCGCATGGTCACAGAAGTTTAGTGTGTGTTAAAAAGTATTGTATGAAGGAAAGTGATTGAGATATGAAAAGGATTTTGATGTAAAATATATTTAATAGTAAAAAAGTGTTAGAGAGATAAAAACTTGTGGATTGTAAAAGTAAAAATAAAAAAGTGTTTAAAAATTGAATATTAAAAGTAGAAACGAAAGAGTGTTTCTCTTATTTTCATTGTGTTTACGACAATGAAAATGGTCCCGCGAACCGGATACTAAAATGGATGTAAAGTGTGAAGTGAAAATTAAATTGAGACAAAAGGTGTTAAGTGCATTTTTAAAGGTGGATTATTTCTTTACTCGATTAATTATTTTGATAAAATTGTATTTGTGCAACCTGAATTTTTATTCAACTGTTGCTTCATTGAAAGGAGTGAGAACGAAGTACAGAAAAGTGGTGTTAACTGAGCTTCAAAAAGCAAACGACCTTTTGAGTGAGGTGAGTGCAGTGTCAGAAATTGAGTTTTTAAAAGATGTTGACAAGTGTAAAAGTCTATTGAAATCTTATTCTGAGAAATTGATGAGTCAAATGGATAAACTATCAGAACGTTTAACTGAAAGTGATTCGGAATATTTGCAACAGATTGTAGATGAGGATTGCAATTTGAATTTCGAGGTAGAAAATTGTATGATTGATTGAGACCAATTTTGTGAGTCAATTGTACCATTGAAACATGATGAGAAAGAAAAAGAGACATATCAAGAACAAATACAAAAGATGATGATGACACAAATTGAACAGCAACATCAAATGTTGGTGCAGATGCAAACGGACAGAAAAAATACAAGTGCAGTTAAATTACCAAAACTTGATTTGGAAATGTTTTACGGAAACAAAATAAACTGGTGGGAAATTTGGAACTCTTTTGAATCCATTGTGCACAGAAATACCAAACTATCCAACATAGAAAAGTTTAATTATTTGCTAAGCAAACTAGGCGGAGAAGCGAAGAGAGCATTAGCTGGACTTGCGCGTACCAACGACAATTATTCTATTGCAGCCGGAATTCTCCGAGAGAGGTACGTCAACAAACAAGAGATTATTGATCTTCATTACAAAGAAATGCTTAATGTTCATTCACCAACTACACAGGTTGAAAGCCTGCGATTTTTTTGGATAAAGTTGACAAAAACTTACGCAGTCTTGAGATGCTAAAGGAAAATGGGAATCAACATGTTTTTGTTTCAATGATTCGCACAAAGCTGCCAGAGGATGTGCTCCGGCAGCTGGAAATAATAAAAGGAGCAAAGAATGAGTGGACTGTTGACAGTTTGCGTTATCACCTACGAGATTACATTACCGCTTGTGAAAAGTCTGACAAAGGAAAGAGTGATAGAATGCATGGAGGTCAATTTAATTCAGTAAACAGAGGAATAAAGAAAGAAGGAGCATTGCCAACGAATACTTGGAATACAGATTTTCATAATCAACATCATTTTCAGAAATTCCGTAGCAGTGCCGACACATTTTTGGCCAATGAAACTGTTCATAACAAGCCAGTGTGTAGATATTGTGCAGAGAATCATTGGAGTGACATGTGTACTCGATTCGCAACATTGGAAGAACGGAAAAACAGAATCAGAGGATGCAGAATCAGAGGATGGTCATGGAATTCGTGAATGCAAATCAAATAAAAAGTGTGTGTACTGTAAACAATTCAATAGATATCATAGAAGTCTGTGTCCTAAGAAATATAAACAAACAACACAAGAAGAATCACAGATGAGTGCAACGGAGCAAATCAATAATATCTCACCGATGGAGCAAAATGAAGAAAATGCTATGTTGTCTCACGGAGAATCTGTGTTTATGCAGACGGCGCTAACTGATATTCAAAACCCAACATCTAACGAAAGTGTCAAGACAAGAATTCTTCTTGACTGTGACTCTCAGAGAACATATATCACACAGTCACTGGCTGACAAATTAAGACTAAAGAAACAGTATGTCGAAGAGTTACATGTATTTACATTTGGCGGTAAAGATGCTAGAGTGATAAAGACACAATTGACTTCCATCAATTTAAAGTTAAGAAATGGACAAAAGCTATGTCTTAAAGCAAACATTGAACCAGTGATAAGTGGAAGCATACATAGAAAGTCACTGAATAAACAAGTCCTGAAAGAATTCAGAGATATTGCAGAAAATTTGGATCTAGCTGATACGTTTCCCGACAAAAATGAAACATCTCAAATAGAACTTTTGATCGGCAATGATCATTACCTAGACATTGCACTTCAACAAAAGATTGAAGTTCAGCCCGGATTGTATCTGATGTGTTCTAAACTCGGTTGGACAGGAAGGTCATACTCAGAAATAAAAGAGAAAGAGGAACCAAACATGCTCATTCACACACGGAAGTGTTAACAATTCAACTATAAACAAAGGAATATTCTGTGGTATCGATTCTTGTGAAAACTCGATTCAAGATCTAGAGGATTTTTGGAACATAGAGGCTATAGGCATTTGTGACAAAGACAAAATGAATGATGATGAGTTACCAATGAGAAAGTTTAAAAGCACACTCACCTTTCAGGATGGTAGATACAGTGTTACCTGGCCATGGAAAGAAGAAAATCCAGATTTACCCGAAAACAAAGGACTTGAATTGGACGACTTAAGTCGTGTTTGAAAAGACTACAAAACAAACCTGCTAGAAAAATACAACAATGTTTTAAAAGACCAACTGTCAAAAGGAGTTATTGAGAAGGTTCAAGACTCGGGGAAAGGCAAGGAATTTATGCATCACTATATTCGGTTATCACGCCACAAAAGTCAACAACAAAGCTAAGGATTGTTTATGATGCGTCGGCAAAAATATCACCATCACCAGTTTGAATGAGTGTCTTTTTCGAGGTCCTGTTTTACTCAAGGACTTGTGTGGGCTACTTATGAGATTTCGTTTACATAGAGTGGCAATGGTTGCGGACATCGAAAAGGCGTTTCTTCAAGTTGGTCTGCAAGACACAAAAAGACCATCACTTTTTCTAAACAACATCGAAATTTATCGTTTCTGTAGAGTACCGTTTGGGATTATTTTCAAGCCCTTTTCTTCTGAGTGCAACGATTGAGGCTCATTTGAATGCTTATGACACTAAACTATCAGAACAGCTGAAACATGACATTTATGTGGACAACATTATAACCGGAGCATCCAGCGATGAACAAGCTGTAGACTTGTATAAAGAAGCAAAAAGCATGTTTAAAGACGCCTCAATGAATCTTCGGGAGTGGAGTTCAAGTAGTGAAAAAGTAAACAGTCTTATTCCAGAGGTTGACAGATCCACTGAAACTGAAACTAAGGTTCTAGGACATGTTTGGGGCATAAAATCAGATATTTTGTCAGTAAAATCTGTATGTTCGAATATAAACCGTTCATTAGTGACAATACGAATCGTACTGAAAGGAATAACATCAGTATTTGACCCCATGGGTCTTGTGTCACCAGTCATTCTTCATGGAAAAATGTTGCTTCAAGAAATGTGAGAAAGTGGTTTCGACTGGGATACAAAGATAACAGACGAACATGTGCTCGATAAGTGGTCATTTATCAGCGATCAGCTTAGGTTGATATCTGACATCAAAATACGCCGGAGTATCGTTTATCAAGGCAAATATGTAAAATACAATTTGCTTTGTTTTTGTGACGCTTCGTCAAAGGCTTATGCCACTGCAATCTATCTACAGCAAGAAAATGCAACTGATGTGAAATCAAACTTGATCTTTGCCAAAACACGTCTTGCTCCAGTCAAGGCAATGACTATACCAAGACTAGAGGTAATGGCAGTGCTCATAGGTGTTAGGTGTTTGAAATTTGTGAAGACACAATTAATGATAGAAATATCGCAAGAATACCTTTGGACCGACTCTCAGGTAGCATTAGACTGCATTAATATTAAAAAGCAACTTCCCGTATTTGTGAAAAATAGAGTTAAAGAAATCAAAAACAATAATTGTTCGATTATTGCTCATGTAGACACAAAAAATAATCCAGCTGACATTGCAACTCGAGGTTCGTCGGTGAGTGATTTAAAGGATAATTCTTTTTGGTGGAACGGTCCCACTTGGTGTTGTGAAAGTCCACGAAACTGGAATACAAATCACGACAATATTATTGACATGGAATTAAAGCAAAAAGAAGATGAAAAAGAACCATGTGTTTCATTGCATGTCGAAGAAAATGAAAGCAAAACAAAACATGATATTGTATTACCTTGTGGAATTGACATTTAAAGATATTCAACATTGACAAAATTGTTGCATGTTACAGCTATTGTGTTAAAGTTCATTAGGAAACTCAAAAATCTAAAAGATGATGCAAAATATCTAACTTGTGACGGCTTACGAGAAGCTGAAAATTTGTGGATAGTTAATGTACAAAAGAACATTTATAATAAGGACTATAAGAATATTCAAAAGAAAAAGCCGTCCGGACTACAAAGACAACTCAGACTGGTTATCGACAACAATGGATTATTGCGTTGTACTGGGCGTTTGGGGAACTTTTGCTTATCAGAAGGAGAAAGACAGCCTATTCTTCTACCTCACAAAGAAGAGTTTACTGAACTAGTGATTCAAAGGGCACATAAAGAGTGTATGCATTATGGAATATCACATACGCTATCCAGAACAAAACAAACATATTGGATAACTCGCGGTCGTTCAGCGGTCAAAGCAGCATTAAATAAGTGTAATGTTTGTCGCCGCTACGATGGAGGCCCATACAAAATGCCTGTTATGGCCGCACTTTCCAGTTCAAGAGTACAAAAGTCAAGTGCATTTTCACGAACTGGATTAGATTATCTTGGACATTTGAACATTAAAACATCAAATGGTAATAGAAAAGTCTGGATGTGTTTATTTTCGTGTATGACAACACGTGCTATTCATTTGGAAGTGATTCAGGATTTAAATACAGAAGAATTCCTGATGTGCTTGCAACGATTCATTTCGCAAAGAAACACTCCTATCGAGATTGCTTCTGATAACGCTGCTCAGTTTAAACTTGCAAGTAAAGTAATAAATCATATATGAAAAAACGTAGTGCAAAGTGATGAAGTAATGTCATACGTAGCTTCGAAGGGCATTCGTTGGAATTTCATTGTCGAGTTAGCTCCCTGGATGGGGGATTCTATGAACGGTTAGTTGGGGTTGTTAAAATGGCACTAAGAAAATCATAAGGACGAAAACTTCTTACAATGATTCAACTTCAAACACTTATCAAGGAAGTGGAAACCGTTGTCAATTCGAGACCCTTAGTTTACGAAGAAAATGATTTATCTTCTAACATCACTTTGACACCTTGGCATTTTTTAACATTAAATCCAAACACCGGTGTACCAGACTTAGAAGACGATGCTTGTGGTGCTATTTACCTGTCGAAAGTTCAACTGAAAAACTGTTAAAGATTTGGAAAAAAGGACAAAAATTACTGAATGAGTTCTGGAAAATTTGGCGTGATCAGTACCTTGCGAGTTTAAGAGAGCGCCTTCAGACTCAATCAAAATCAGGACGGATTACTGCCAAAACAATACCGAGTGTGGGTGATGTTGTGTAAATAAAGGAAAACTTACCTACAGGAAGTTGGAAAATTGGTCGCATTGTTGAGTAAGTGACTAGTAATGATGGAGAAATTCGATCTGCTAAAGTACAACTACCTTCGAAGAGACTGATAGGCAGACCTTTGAACTTACTTTATCTTCTTGAATGTGATAAAAATCTCACACTTATTGATGACAAAGGGGATACGAACAGTGAGAAAAGTGAAAAGAAACCAGATAAAGTATCAAACAGAAAGGCAGCGGAAATTGCAAAACAAAAAATTAAAAAACTATTTTAAGTAAAATTTATAAAAAAAATCAATGATGTAAATAATGATATTTCATTAAAAAATGTTTTTAAACATTAAACAATACATTCTGTATCGAATAGAGACACGAAGACAGTCTTTAATTGTTTGACATTATAGCATGAAACACTCAGGAAGAGATTGTGAAGAGACTATTTTGTATATAAGCACTTTTTTATACATTGTTTTTACTTCATGTATTTGGAAATAGGTCATATGTCATGTATTGCATTAATTTGACACTTCTAAGTCAATCAATGTGCATTGTTAATAGATGTTTCTAAATCTTAATAATTAGCTCTATTTAAACATTTTTCTTAAAAACATACATATTGTGTTTTCTACTATAAATATTGTATGCTCATTTTCTATGGCGGAAGTGTCGCTAACATACCGATTATGTAATGAATACTTGGTATTTAAATGCTGTTCTTTGAATATGCTCCTTTTAACTTCATTGTATGTTGATACTCCGTTTATTGCTCCTTTGGTTTTCGCGCCAAAGTTTTATTATATTAAATTGCTCCTTTTAACTTTCCCGCCTTAGAATTCCCGCCACAAACATATTCACGTGCTTTTCATGATAGCTTTGTATAAATAGAGACCGCATGGTCACAGAAGTTTAGTGTGTGTTAAAAAGTATTGTAAAAGGAAAGTGATTGAGATATGAAAAGGATTTTGATGAAAAATACATTTAATAGTAAAAAAGTGTTAGAGAGATAAAAACTTGTGGATTGTAAAAGTAAAAAGTGTTTAAAAATTGAATATTAAAAGTAGAAACGAAAAAGTGTTTCTCTTATTTTCATTGTGTTCACGACAAAAAGAACGAAAAAGAAAAATTCAACGTTTAAGGAGGAGCTAATTCTGGAAATATGGATGCTAGATTTAAAATTAAAAGAACGAATAAGAAAAATTCAAAGTTTAAGGAGGAGATAATTCTGGAAATATGGATGCTAGATTTATAAACCTTGTCATGTTATTATGATGTGGGAGTTTGAAGAAAATCCTATAATGATTGAAGCAGTTGGAGTAAAAATTACCAATTTCTCGAAAAAAAGTTCAAAAGGGGCATAATTCTTGAAATAGTCTTGCTAGAGTATTGAACTTTCTAACAAATGTTGAGTGAAAATAATAAACATATATATGAAGTCTGAAGTAGATACATTCAGAAAAAAGAAGTTATTAAAAAAAAACAATATTTTTTCATGAAAATTTTAAGTTCAAGGGAGGAAATTCTGATAAATTATGTGCTAGAGTTTTAAACCTTGTCACAAATGATGTGGTTGATGACTAGAAACGTATATTTAAAGTTTGATGAAAATACCTTAAGAAATAAAGAACTTATAGTGAAAAAACGTAAAAATTAGAATCAGAAATCTTGAAATTCAGTCTATTTGTTGCCACAGTAACCAGAATTTTCAACATAGGAAGAAAGGAGAAGAATGTGCATAATCTCCAGACTGCCATCTACCCATATTTTAAGTTTCAGTACTTTTTGTGTTACCACTGGATCCAGGTTATGTGTAAAATTTGCCATATTTTCAGTCTATTTGTTGCCATAGCAACCAGAATTTTCAACATAGGAAGAAAAGAAAATGACGTGCATAATCTCCATACTACCATCTATCCATATATCAAGTTTCATAAAAATATTTTCAGTACTTTTTGCGTTATCGCGAGATCCAGTTTTGTTGACGGACGGATTGACGGACGGACGGACGGAATGACGGACGGACGGCAACCAGAATTTTCAACATAGAAAGAAAAGAAAAAGACGTGCATAATCTCCATACTGCCATCTATCTATATATCAAGTTTCATAAAAATATTTTCAGTACTTTTTGCGTTATCACTGGATCCAGGTTATGTGTAAAATTTGCCATATTTTCAGTCTATTTGTTGCCATAGCAACCAGAATTTTCAACATAGGAAGAAAAGAAAAAGACGTGCATAATCTCCATACTACCATCTATCCATATATCAAGTTTCATAAAAAATATTTTCAGTACTTTTTGCGTTATCGCAGGATCCAGTTTTGTGGACGGACGGACTGACGGACGTCCGGCCGAAATGGAATAAGGGGCCATTTCTTTTGTTATTTTCTATTGTTTAATAGAGGGCCAATGGCCCCTTATTTTATTGTTACGGAATGAACTCTATTGTTCTTTTTTGTTCTGTTTACAGTTAGATGCCCCCCTATCCCTATTCGGTAGTGCGGACGGACAGACGGACGGACGGAATGACAGACGGACAGACTGACGGTAAACCTAAAGTCCCCTCCAGTAAACCGGTAGGGGACTAAAAAACATAAATATTATAAGTTTAAAAGGGCATAACTCCCAAAGTATTACTTAAAGAATGATGTCTCTAGTTTTACAACTGTGTCTTGTCATGAAAATCAAATATTACAAGTTTCAAGTTGATTGCTTTGATAGTGTTGAACTCATCCTACTAGAATCTACTGATAATAAGCAATTGTGACTAAATTTTAGGCAGTGACTAGCCGTACGGGCCCGTGTTGCAAGCCAAAACTTCTAGCTGTATGTGAGTCACGTTCAACTAGACTTTATGCACTGTTGAGGCTAACTGTACAGCATTTTTAAAGATAAATAACCTAAAACAATAATGAATATGCAAACTTGTGTTTCTAAACAAAGACTTTATGAAATATCATGTAAAACATCATCAATAACAGAAGGATATCTTAATTAATGACATTTTGACGGGAAGTTTTTTTATCTAAAAATCACAATTATCTCCATGGTACATTATACATGTGTATCTTACTCACGGTGACCTTTCCCCTTGAAAGTTCATTATATATACAATAACTAAAGGTGATTCATACCCCAACCAGGAACCTTAACATTTTGAAATATAAGGTCTGATGCAAAATTTGAACTCGAGTCTTAATTTATGAGGTTTCCTCCTTTGTACCAATGAAGTGGCAATATTTATTACAATTAATTGTCTATCTTCCAGAACCCATTTTTCTGTTATTAGTAACAGTGACCTTAAACCTAGAGGTCCAACAACAATCCCAAGCCAGGTCTTTTCATAACCTTGCTAAATGCCAAGTTTCATTACAATAGCTTATTCCAAACACTATTTATTATCCAGAAATCATATTTCTATTTTTAGTAACAGTGACATTAACCTTGACCTATGAAGGTCAAAAGCAATACCAAACAATGTCTCTACATAAGCTTGCTACAAGTTTGATTACAATATCTCATTGCTAACTGAGTTATTATCTGGAAACCATTTTCCAATTTTCAGTAACAGTGACATTGACCCAAGGGAGTCAAAAGCAATCCCAACCAGGGTCTTCATATAAGCTGGCTATATACCAAGATAACAGTATCTCATTTCGAACTCTTTTTATTGTACAAAACCATTTTTCTATATTGACTAAATGACTTTGACCCCAGGGGTCTAAAAGCAATACCAGCTGGGGTTTCCACAAAAGCTTGCTATATATCAAGTTTGATTACAATAACTAATTCATAATTCTAGTTATCGTCTGGAAACCATGTGGAATCCTAGTTACCTATAAACTTTGTTTGGACTCCTAGTTACCTATAAACTTTGTTTGTGGGGGTATAATAACAAGAGGGCCATGATGGCCCTGAGGTCGCTCACCTGTATATAGCCCCCCCACCCCCAGGCCATTTTTTACCCAAGGGCTTTTATTTGTTTATTTGAACAGACTTGGTAGACACTTACTAGAAGATGTTTCATGCTAAATATCTAAGTTCTAGCTCATTGGGTTTTTTAAAAGAAGATTTTTAAAGTTTTTACTATACACATATAGTTAAAAACAATGACACCGCTGGGGCAGGGCCAGTTTTGACCCCCGGGCTTTTATTTGAACAAAATTTGTAGATATTTTCTTAAAGATGTTTCATGCTTAATATCTAAACTCTAGCTATTTGGGTTTTTTCAAAGAAGATTTTTAAGTTTTTGCTATACACATATAAGGAAAATCAATGACCCCCGGGCGGGGCCAGTTTTGACCCCAGGGCTTTTATTTGAACATACTTGGTAGACACCCATTGGAACATGTTTAATGCTAAATATCATAGCTCTAGCTCTTTGAGTTCTTTAAAAGAAGATTTTTTAAATTTTTGGGGCGGGGCCAATTTTGACCCCAGGGCTTTTATTTGAACCAACTTGGTAGACACTCATTAGAAGATGTTTCATGCTAAATATCTTAGCTCTAGCTCTTTGGGTTCTTTAAAAGAAGATTTTTTAAGTTTTTACTATATGCATATAGGGAAAATCTATGACCCCCTGGGCGGGGTCAATTTTGACCCCAGGGCTTTTATTTGAACAAACTTAGTAGACATTCACTAGAAGACGTTTCATGCCAAATATCTAAGCTCTAGCTCTTATGGTTCTTTAAAAGAAGATTTTTTAAGTTTTTACTATATGCATATATGGAAAATCAATGACCCCCCGGGGCGGGGCCAATTTTGACCCCAGGGCTTTAATTTGAACAAACTTGGTAGACACTCACTAGAAGATGTTTCATGCTTAATATCTTAGCTCTAGCTCTTTGGGTTCTTTAAAAGAAGATTTTTTAAGTTTTTACTATATGCATATAGGGAAAATCAATGACTCCCTGGGGCGGGGCCAATTTTGACCCCAGGGCTTTGATTTGAACAAACTTAGTAGACATTCACTAGAAGATGTTTCATGCCAAATATCTAAGCTCTAGCTCTTACGGTTCTTTAAAAAAAGATTTTTTAAGTTTTTACTATATGCATATAGGGAAAATCAATGACCCCTGGGGCGGGGCCAATTTTGACCCCAGGGCTTTTATTTGAACAACTTTGTAGACACTCACTAGAAGATGTTTCATGCCAAATATCTTAGCTCTAGCTCTTTGGGTTCTTTAAAAGAAGATTTTTTTACGTTTTTACTATATGCATATAGGGAAAATCAATGACCCCCTGGGGCGGGGCCAATTTTGACCCCAGGGCTTTTATTTGAACAAACTTGGTAGACACTCACTAGAAGATGTTTCATGCCAAATATCTAAGCTCTAGCTCTTAGGGTTGTTTAAAAGAAGATATTTAAAGATTTTTCTTTCGGTTGCCATGGCAACCAGAGTTCTGCATGGAATTAAATTCTTTGAACAATTTTTAAAGGTGACCACCAAAGGAACATTCCTGTGAAGTTTGGATGAAATTGGCTCAGTGGTTTATGAGGAGATGTCATTTAAAGCAAAAGTTTACGGACGGACGACGGACGGACAACGGACGAAAAGCGATCACAAAAGCTCACCCTGTCAATTTGTGACAGGTGAGCTAAAAATAACCATGGCAATATTCTCATTGCTGATTCTTATGTATAATTTATGTTTCACAATGGTGATATTTTCATGTAAAATATATGGTACCGATGGTTACTTTAACCATTGAATGTTAAAAAAGAAGAGAAGTCAGAAATGTTTGGCACTAATCCTGTTTATAGGAAATGCTTGTTGTATTTGGGAGTAAACATATTTTCCCCTTATTGTGAAAATGTAATCTGTTGATTATATGGTCAAGAACTGTGACTAAAACTGATATTCACCATTTTGTGATATTCATTATTTTGTGATATTCACACTTTTGGTGACATTTCATCCTACAATCACATCAAACTGCTACATGGTATTAGATAAATTATACCTATTATATTATACAAAACCATTTTAGTAACAATGACCTTGACCCCAGGGTGTTTGGTATTAGGTCTATTTTGACCCAATTGCAACTACCCTGAGTGACATTCAATCTTAGATGATATTCAACCCTGGGTGATATTCAACCTGACATTTAATGAAATTGAATTAATAATATTTTATAGATTCATTCACCCTTGCAAATTACTTTAAGAATTTATATATGTTACATAGAGTAAGATTTGTTACAGTGAAAATATAATTGTACTGGGACAGGGCAGAGATGTCATGAAATCTCTGTCATGAAAAATTAAATATTTGAAGACTGATAACACGATCAAGCTTCGTGCACGGAAAACAACAACAACAACAACAACATATATATGTAAAACTTTTGAAATAATTTATGTAACAAATTTAGTATGGTTATAATGACATTTAATGAATGTTAAAAATCTTACATGTACATGTATATGAAAATAAAATGTACAATGATTTATAAGAAAATATGAGTAATAATTAATTTAAAGGCACATTATGCCTAAGAATTTCACACATTTTTCTTTTCTTTATAATAGACAAACAGGGGTTTTATTATGTATAAATAATGGTTTATGAGCATGTTAGGTGCTTGTCAAATGAAGAAAATTGCACTTAATTTAAAATAATTTGACATAAAAGTAGCAAAATTAAAACAAAGTAGTATTTTGACTTCCATAGAAAATCACTACTGTACTGAGTTACCAAAAAACAAGTAATGAGTAACTGTTTTAAAACTATATCAGGACACCAAAAATTATATAACTTCTGAGAAATAAAGTTAAAACATGAAAGCATTTGTAGGGCATAATAGGCCTTTTTACTGACAAATTAAACTTTTTATCATTAAACATAAAGACCATGTGATAAAAAAATTCAACAAAGTGTTCAGTTAAAATTCTTAATGTAATTGATATCATATAATATGAGAAGTTTCACAAGCTGTATGGTTAAACATTAAACTATGATTTAAAACATTACCAAATAATAAAAGATAAAATCAAACCAAAATACTACTGATACATTGTATTTTGAATTTACAATCAAATTCAGATAAAAAGAGTTTGTCATTTTACATGTTATTCTTTTAAATTTATGTTTATAAGTGTATATATTTTAAATTTTTTTAAGATACTTAATAAGCTATATCTTTGATATTTGATCACATAACTGCAAACGTACACTAAATTAAAATTAATCAATGAATTAAATCACATGAAATTTTCATTTTATAAATACATGTATTTAGAATTAATCATGAACAAAAAATCTTAACAAAATAATTTAAGGCCATAGCCAATACAGCAGAGTTGAAATACATTATATGTGATCAATTTGAAACTTCATTTACATCAAAGTAAAGTATATACAATCTATACATCAGATCCACGAATTAAAGGAAAACAAACAGAGCTCAGCTTCAAGAAATAAGAACACCGATTCCAATATTGATCTGATCCCTATATTGTTCCAGTCGTATCATTGACATAATTCATTAAAACATGAAGTTTATTGCTTCAAGTAACATTAATGACTTGAAATTCTGCCGTCAAGAATCATGTCTCTTGTACACACCTATATTCATAAAAACGAGTAATGTGGGAACCTTAAACAGCCCTTGACGTCACTTAACTTTTTTTAAGAGACATATTGAATTCTTAGAGAAGTTCTATTCTATAGCACTTGAAATAAATAGAAAGACTTTTTTTGAAATTTGCTTATTGTTAACTATCAATATTTATCTTAAATATTTTAAGGGTAATTCTCTTTTATTTTTAACGTCTATGACAATGTTAATGTCATTTGTAAAATGACGTTAAGGGTAGATTTCTCATGATGGTGTTTAATTATATTAAAAATAAATAACAAAAAACAATATAATGTCGGAGATGACGTTAATGTTAGCGCAGAACGTCATATTATATAACACGCTTTATCACACACCCGTGCGATTTTGCGACTCCATAAATATGGTATCGCACGGCCGTGCATATATTTTGACGTCACGTCATTAGCGTTATACAAACATAGTGCAAAGACGCGCTAAATGTTAGCGTTATACTATAGACGCGTCAATGAAAAATGACTCTTATTTCACTTTAAACGGTCTTTATTTTGGGTATGTGATAAATAGAATATTAAATTTGTGTAAGTTCATTACTGAATTTATTGCACTCGCTGAATAAAATAATATTATGCTTGCCAGAGGCTCGCATAATAAAATTTTTATTCAACTCCTGCAATAAATTCAGTATTGAACTTACACTCATTCAATATCCTCTATTTAATATGAACGTTATCAATTCCAGACAAGTACAGCCTCTTACAATTGAGTCAGGGAATGGAATCTTTGGCTCAGTAGTCTAGGAGGATACAACTACTGCCTGTAAATGAGTTCGAATCCCAGCCTTGGCAGTTCATCACGGATATCATGTGCCTCACACATGCGATGAAAACACGTGATTCTGAAATCTTTGACACCATATCATCCACATTTCCAAAAGTTTGTTAATAAGGTATTACACCATATAGTCGTGATGACCCAGTATATTCTCATCAAGAAAACACAGTTTTTTATTCCCTACTTTCAAATTCCATGTTAACTATCAGAATGGTCATCAATGTGATGTTCCAGATCGTTTTCTAGAACACTATCATGTCTATAAGGTAAGTGTTGGATTTCTCCCTCTGGATATGCATGTTCTAAATCTCCTTCAACGCCATACACATGGCCATCTCCAAGAATATCATCTAAAAAAAAAATACAATCTTAAAAACAACATATTATCAAAGAAATACAATATAACACTTACTCAGACAAAAGTTCAAAACTTCGTCGTATCACATGCAGTGAGAATTATTTACAGGAACTCCACTCAGATATAAAGCCTTAAAACATAAAATTTAAATTTCTAACAAAGATCCACTGGGGCACTTAAAACAGAAAAATATGCAAAAGATAAGAAGTATATTCAGAAATAAAATGAAAATCATATTTTTTTGGTCTTTTTGGATCATTTTCCCAATTAGAATAATTATTCTGGAAAAATAAAGTGAGCGAAAGATCTGAAATTTTGCAAAGAAGTTATTGGTCTAGGCCTTCTTAAAATGGAACATTAACCACAAATAGTATTTCCAGTCCTGTCATGTCAAAAAACTCAGCTGAGTCTTTTAAAAGTAACACTATGTTTATATCATGTAATGTAAGCATATCAATTCAAAATTATAAACTAAATAAATAAAAGCTTAAGAAAGTGATTTCTTGCATTCAGACTGGCGTTTCCGTGAGTTTTACCCATGCCGGAAATTTCATCTGGCATGGGGGGTTCCAGATGAGTCGCGTGCTGTACAATGGCACGATTAGGATGACGCCATTTTACCGTTATGAATGAAGTTGTAATTCATACGCTGTTGTAAGAAAGTAGTTACGGTTGTAATGATAAAAATTTTATTGAAAATAAAGATAAAGAATTTAAAATATAATGGAACATGGTAGAATATGCAAGAAAAAATATCTGATATATGTTTGCGGTTCGGATCGGAATATCCGTCCCTCGGTCACCCGCCCAATGGGCGGGTCACCTCAGGACGGATATTCAATCCAAACCGCAAAATATGACAGACATTATTAATATTTCATGGGTTTCATTATTAACAGATTGATGATACATATCATCGGTTGAAATCCTGTAAAAATCGGTTGTATTTTCAGCCGGTAGATTAAAATATCCCCTTTGATTCTGGGCTAGATTGGCTGTTTTTGTTGGCACTTCTGTTGCCTGAGATAAAAACTCTGATATTTTCAAAACACTTCAGAGAATAAATGAGGTAAAGCTTACTTTGTAATGCAACACTATTGAGCCTTTCTGATATACTGTCCACATCATCATCACCATTATCATGAGCAATATCATCACCAATATCATCATCATCAGCAGTATCATGATGATGGTCCACAATAGCCTCCTGCTGAGTAACTGCTGAAAATAGAACCCAATTCTATTTACACAACTGGCTTCCAGAATGGTAAACAAATTGTATATAAAATATCAAACTAGCCGCAACGATCATGATAATTTGACTCTTTCTTCATAACAGAGAAGCATAAACATTTTGAGCCGCGCCATGACAAATCCAACATAATGCGTTTGAGACCAGCATGAATCCAGACCAGCCTGCGCAACGGCCCAGTCTGATCAGGATACATGCTGATCGCTATCAGTTTCTCTACTTGTAATAGGGTTTGTAGGCGAACAGCATGAATACTGATCAGACTGCGCCGTTGCGCAGGCTGGTCTGGATCCATGCTGGTCGCAAACGCATTATGTTGGTTTTGTCATGGCACGGCTCAAATGTAGTTTAAGAAATATAATGCCATATGCCAAATATCTAACTTCAGTCTTTGTAGATTCAAATAGGATTTTTTTAAAGTCTTCATTTTTTGTAAGTCTATTTTTAGCTCCTGTGACCTACTTATGTATCAGACTGAAACCTGTAAAATAACATTTGTAGAAGACCAGCTAAGAATAATTCTTCTAAAAAATACAAAAATCTTACTTTCTCAATTACTTAATATAATTATGTTAGCTACTTACTATCAGGTACATATAACTGTTTTCTAAAAGTCTCCTGTATAGAACCACTTCCTTCACTGTGGTTCATAGGTGAAACACTTCCTGCTGGATCAGGTCTTATCCTGGCACCATTATCTTGATCTGCCCTGGCACCAGTATATTCACCTGCCCTGGCACCAGCATCTTGATCTGCCCCGGCATGAGTATATTCACCTGCCCTGGCACCAATATCTTCATCTACCCTGGCACAAGAATATTCACCTGCCCTGGTACCAGTATATTCACCTGCCCTGGTACCAGTATATTCACCTCCCCTGGCGCCAGTATCTTCATTTCTATCTTCAGAAGGATTCAGATATCCTCTTTTCTGCAAAGCCTGTATATCAAGACCCATTGATAGTTCTCTTGACTTTTTATTTAATGATCCAATACTTAATTGAGGAGCATCATCAAAAATAGCTCTAAATTGTTCTCTAGCCAAACTGGCGCTAGTCTGCGTCTGATAACCACTGGTGCTGTACCTTAAATCACCATCTCTAGTATTGTCATTAGAGTTGTTGCGTTGACTAACAACCCTATCAGATGCTATATTACTTGAACTACTAATGCGATGCCCATTAGAAGATTGTACACCAGAATCAATTGTGTTACGTTGTAACTGATCTCTGAACATTTCAGAGCTCAAATCTGCTGCATGTCTAAAAGGGTCAGCATCACCTCTTGTTTCTTTTACAACTTCTCCTCTTACTAAATTTCCTTGTGGCAACAATTCATTATCCTCTATAACATCCTGGTCATTTTGATTGTTGAGGATAGAGTCAAACTTCAAGTGAGAAGTACTTGATGGTTGCTGGGGTTGATTATAAACTGGATTTACTGTTTTCAAACTACTGGTATCCTTGTTGCTAGCCTCCTTCCCTATTGTATTAGGTCGAATTGCTGCAATTAATAAAAAAAAATTATGTAACTTTTTTGTTGAATCGGAAACTTATCATTTGACCTGGAGAATAAATTTAATACTTTCACTGTTTCAATTGGAAAATAGATTTATAACTTTTATTAATAATAAAAAAAAATTTAACTTTGTCGAACTGAATAACAATTACATAAACATGTGACACTGACTCACTGTCACTAATTCAGACATGTCACCCGCCAACTTTTTTTCTGCCGAAGGAACCAGAGATCATGTTAAAGAGATCCGAGGTAAACAAAATATATATTTTATAGGAATTTTGCTTGGGACTGGATGATAAGCTCAAGCAAAGAGAGGTATTCTAGCCATCTGAGTTTGAGAAAAGGAAGTTTAACAGTACCCTCATTGCTTAAGGTAGACCATAGGTAATGGGCACTATAAGGAACTGTAAAATTGACAGCATAAGACAGTTATATGTCTTCAAGGTCACCTGTTTGCAAAATTTAAATAAAATTTACCGTGCATACTTCGTATAGTCGAGCTAAAAATCATTAAAAGGACAAAAGATATTTCTATTAAAGAGCTATAACTCGGCCAAAAGTTTTTCAAGCGGCCATTACTCTGACAAAAATTATTGAACAGAAAAATGCCAATGATGTGCATAGCTAGACTTGGTACTGATAATTCTTGTAAAGTTTGGATGAAATTACACTACATGTAGTATATTTTTGTGGAGTAATCCGGACCAGTTTTGTGACGGACAGACAGAGGTGCTCAAAGTTTGGTATTTAAGTGGCTACTCTTTTGTTCTCTCTCTTTTGTTCTTTTAGACATGTAAGAGAAGAAGTTGCCACATAAGAGCTTACTGAATGAACAAGTATCCAAGGAAATTTACTGTTACCTATTGTTCCCATAGACCCCTAAGTATATATATGTTTGTACGGACGGACGGACAGACAGACAGACGATGGAGAAGTGATCTCTATATGTCTACTCTGTAGAGACTACACAAAAATGTGACAACTGAACACTAATTATAAACAACATCATACCTGGCAAAGCTATACTTATTTCAAAGCTTCCACAATATTCAATCTTGTTGGTAAGTGTAATATACCACATGTAAAGTCCTGCATCCACATCAGAGGCATCTTTTACATTGTACATGTGGATATATTCCTCCCATCCAATAGCACTATTCCCTTTTCTTTCTATCCTAAACTTTGTAACTTCATAACCTCCAGTAGAGTTTGGTATAATTTGAAAATCTGATCCTGAAAGTATAAGACTACCATTAACAAAACATAAAAGCTCTAAGTTTTCTGCACATTCAAACTAAAATAAACTAGAAGGGTTTTTGTCACAAAAACGTATGTCTCCCAAAACTGCGTATGGTCATTCATGTTGAAATTTCATGGAAATCCCACCTGTAGCTTGACCTGTGAAAGCCGGACAAGATTTTTCTATTCATAGCTCTGATGGCCATTTTGTGCAGCCTAGGGAAACGTGCCGGTATTGTGCACAACAAGGGATGGTACTGATCACTCCTGTAAAGTTTGGTTGAAATCCCACCAGAAGTAACTGTACAGTAGAAGTACAGACATGAATTTGAAGGAAAGAAATATCCAAGTATTTGTTTTATAAAACTAGAAATGTGTCATCATGCCACGGATGCCCCCGCATGCAGCCAAAATTTCAGATGTTATAATACATTTGTTTGCACAAATTATTTTTTTTCATTTAAAGTTCAAATTATTCAGTCTTAACCTTTTGAAAATAGCATATTTCATATTTGTAGCCAAAATAATTGCTACATACATTTCAGTGCTGAAACTGAAAGTTCAAAATTTTTCCAGTATTCAAGAAAGATAAGTTTGTCCAAAATCATTGAACCACGACCAAATTCAAACTTAAACTGCTTATTCCTAAGATGTATCTATATTATTTTCAAAGTGAAAGGGACATAACTCTGCCAAAAAAATCATCGAACCATGACCAAATTCCAACTTGACCTGCCGCCCATTCCTTTGACATATCCATTGAGTTGTTGGGTAGATAATGAACAGAAACTGTAAATTTCATATTATTTTCAAAGTGAAAGGGGCATCACTCTGCCAAAAATCATTGAACCATGACCAAATTCGAACTTGGCCTGGGCATTCCAAAAACATATCCATATGTCAAATTTGAGTTGAATGTGTTGTACCTTTGGGGAGATAATGAACGGAAACTGAAAATTTCATATTATTTTCAAAGTAAAAGGGGCATAACTCTGCCAAAAATCATCGAATCATAACAAAATTCGCACTTGACCTGTATTTTCTCATGACATATCCATATGTAAATTTTGAGTTGAATGTGTTGTACCATTGGGGAGATAATGAACGGAAACTGATGATGAAGGAATGACAGAATGACGGAATGACGGAACAGGGTAACACTATATGCCCCGGCCATTACATGGCGGGGGCATAATAAAAATGCTACTATTAGATCTACCAATTGTATTAAATACATTAATACACATCATAGTTGTGCCATTAGGTGATAATCGTCCCTGAAATGAATAATGGCCTCGGGCTGAAGCCCTCGGGCCATTATTCATTTTGTGGGCTGATTATCACCTTCCGACCCTACTCTGCTGTGTATTAATCTCTTATTCTCTGCAAAACATAAATGTTTGATAACCATTTCTGGCATAACCATTTCTGTGACAATATGTTAAGTATTGTGTTGCTATACATTGACAATATCAAGAAAATCCTCCATTGTTACTAAATCTTGACTCCCTATTTATTATACCAGAAGGTGCTTATTTCAAAGATTCCCTTGAAAAATTTCCATTGTTTCTTAGTAACATTCACCATGTTCATGTATTATGAACTGCATCTTTCTCGGAAGCAGTGTGTACATGATACAACAACAAATATCTCCTGAATCCAAGGGGCATTAAAAAGTCAATGATACATTTGTTTCACTAATTTTCATTGGTTTACTAAAATTTTTCATATTTTCGTACAAATAACACTGTTTAAGCAAACCTCGTTCTATTGAGTATATGTCTCCTTGCCAGGGTATGCTCTTTTTTCTTTCTCCACCCTCAAATTGTATAATGCTCACAGTAGGTTTGACTGAAAACAACAATTACAACAGAATCTAAAGCAATATGCCTCCAGATCCATGCTAATTTTCATGAAAATTTTAAAAATTTATTCAAAAGTTAAAATATTGTAAAGGGAACAAAAGAAACTTATTTTTATACATTGTAAATCGCACTTTCAATCCACATAACTTACCAAAAAGATGTTTAAATATGCAAAAATAGTTCTTACTACTATAGTCACGCAGTAGAAATATGGTGATGAATACTTCAAAATCTGACATTCAGTAATTGCACAAAACATGTAAATCATTATTTAAATATAGAATCTTTTTTACTTTTTTAAAACTCTTTGTATATTTTTCAAAAGTCACTCACACACTTTAAACTTCTAAGACAAATTTGTCAGAAGTATCTTGTGGTATATTTAAATATGCTTCAAGTATACATTTATTTTAGTGTTGATCTTTTTATTTCTCAAAAAAAAAGGGAATTTAACAGTTAAGAAAATATACCTCCTCAGTGTTTTGCAGGGGTGTGGGGGTGGCAAAGGGGGGCTACAAGATCTGCTGTGAATCAATAGTTTTCAATATTACCTGAAGGATGTGGCATTATTAATTTGGTGTTTTCATCATCTGTACTGCCCTCATCATCTTCAGTGTCTGAGCTTCTTGTAGAACCAGATAAACTTTCAGCTCTACTAGGAGATCTATTACCTGACTGACTGCCACCTTCCAAATCACTTTCTGGTGTAAAAGGATCAGCTAAGAAATGAATGTATTACTACTAAAGATAGAAAAATAGGGAAAATACTGCTGAGATGCACCATTAATTAACTCTTATGCTAAATATGAAAATTAAGACCTGTCTATTATTCAATCTGAACAAGATATTTCATTCAGTTTTAGCAAAATTTTAAAAACAGACTGAATAGCAAACAGTGCAGACCATGATCCGACTATATAGATGTAACAGCTGATCTTGGTCTGCACTGGTAACATAGATATAGGTAGATACAGTTGATGCCAGCAGGCTAAAGGTTAAATTTCCCAAACATATCTTTATCTAACACAGCTTTCAGTTCAGCACAAAGTAATACTTCAAATATGATCATGCATTACATTTCTTTAAGCTAGGGTCTTTCAAACACCGAAAACCCTGAGTGTTGTTGTGTATTGTTTATATTTGAATTTGCAAAACATGAAAATAATCAAAACATTAAGTCTAATTATAACAAGAATTTTAACGTCCCCCGTCTCGGGGAAGTTTCATATGAAGCAAAAAAATTGTGCTATTTCAAAAGATTGGGGTATGAATCTCAGGACTATCAGTCCAAAATTATGATCAATGCTAGATCTGTAAATGCAACAATAAATTCAATAAAGAACAAGAGGGCCATGATGGCCCTGAGGTCGCTCACCTGTATATAGGCAGCCCCCCACCCCCCGGCCAATTTTTACCTAAGGGCTTTTATTTGTTTATTTGAACAGACTTGGTAGACACCCAAAAGAAGATGTTTCATGCTAAACATCTAAGTTCTAGCTCATTGGGTTTTTTAAAAGAGAATTTTTAAAGTTTTTACTATACACATATAGTTAAAAACAATGACACCCCTGGGGCAGGGCCAGTTTTGACCCCGGGCTTTTATTTGAACAAACTTTGTAGATATTTACTTAAAGATGTTTCATGCTTAATATCTAAACTCTAGCTATTTGGGTTTTTTCAAAGAAGATTTTTGCTATACACATATAAGGAAAATCAATGACCCCCCCCCCGGGCGGGGCCAGTTTTGACCCCAGGGCTTTTATTTGAACATACTTGGTAGACACCCATTAGAACATGTTTCATGCTAAATATCTTAGCTCTAGCTCTTTGAGTTCTTTAAAAGAAGATTTGTTCAGTTTTTACTATATGCATATAGGGAAAATCAATGACCCCCTGGGGCGGGGCCAATTTTGACCCCAGGGCTTTTATTTGAACAAACTTGGTAGACATTCATTAGAAGATGTTTCATGCTAAATATCTTAGCTCTACCTCTTTGGGTTCTTTAAAAGAAGATTTTTTTAAGTTTTTACTATATGCATATAGGGAAAATCTATGACCCCCTGGGGCGGGGTCAATTTTGACCCAAGGGCTTTTATTTGAACAAACTTGGTAGACATTCACTAGAAGATGTTTCATGTCAAATATCTAAGCTCTAGCTTTTATGGTTCTTTAAAAGAAGATTTTTTAAGTCTTTACTATATGCATATAGGGAAAATCAATGACCCCCCGGGGCGGGGCCAATTTTGACCCCAGGGCTTTAATTTGAACAAACTTGGTAGACACTCACTAGAAGATGTTTCATGCTTAATATCTTAGCTCTAGCTCTTTGGATTCTTTAAATGAAGATTTTTTAAGTTTTTACTATATGCATATAGGGAAAATCAATGATCCCCTGGGGCGGGGCCAATTTTGACCCCAGGGCTTTTATTTGAACAAACTTGGTAGACACTCACTAGAAGATGTTTCATGCCAAATATCTAAGCTCTAGCTCTTAGGGTTGTTTAAAAGAAGATATTTAAAGATTTTTCTTTTGGTTGCCATGGCAACCAGAGTTCTGCAAGGAATTAAATTCTTTGAACAATTTTTAAAGGTGACCACCAAAGGAACATTCCTGTGAAGTTTGGATGAAATTGGCTCAGTGGTTTATGAGGAGATGTCATTTAAAGCAAAAGTTTACGGACGGACGCCGGACGGACGGACGCCGGACGAAAAGCGATCACAAAAGCTCACCCTGTCACTTTGTGACAGTTGAGCTAATAAAAATGAAAACGGAATTTAAAAATCTATCATGTTAAGCTTTGACCTTTAAGTGTGACCTTGACCTTGAAGGTAGGGGTGAAGGTGTTGTGCATGACATATTGTCTTACTATTGTAACTATTTGTGCCAAGTATTTTTAAAATCCCTTGAACTATAAAGAAGTTATAGATCGGACACAAAATATACCCTATAACAGATTGGAGACAAAACATACCCTATAACAGACTATGTTAATCTTTGACCTTAGAGGTAGGGACCCATGCTTTGCGCCTGATATATCGTCTTATTATTGTATTTTTAAAATCCCTTGATCTATGAAAAAGTGATGGACTGGACACAACATATACCTTATAACAGACTATGAAAATCTTTGACCTCTACGTGTGGCCCTGGCCTTGAGGGTAGGGACACATGTGTTACTCATGACAGATCATCTTATCATTGTGACTATTTGTGCCAAGTATTTTCAAAAGCCCATGATCTTTGAAGAAGTTATGGACGGGTCACAAAATATACCATATAACAGACTCTGTTAACCTTTGACCTCTAAGAGTGACCTTGACATTGGAGGTAGGGGTGCAGGTGTTGTACTTGACATATCGTCTAATTACTATGACTATTTGTGTTTAGATTCAAAATCCCGAAGAAGTTCTACATCGGACACAAAATATACCCTAAAACAGACTATGTTAACTTTTGACCTCTAAGTCTGACCTTGAACTTGGAGGTAAGAATGCAGGTGTTGCACATGACACCTCGTCTTATTATAGTGCCTATTTGTGGCAAGTATTAACAAAATCCTTTGATCTTTGAAAAAGTTATGGACCGGACACAAAATATACCTTGTAACAGACTATGTTAATCTTTGACGCTCCAAGTGTGACCTTGACCTTGGAAGCAGGTGACTGGTTTTTGCGCATGACACATAGTCTCATTATTATTGTGAACAATTGTGTCAAGTATTTACAAAATCCCATCAAAGATAAGAAAGTTATAGACCGGACACGACATACACCCTCAAATAGACAATGTTGACCTTGAATGAGCAAGTGCGACCTTGACCCTTGAGGTAGGGGTCTGGTTGTTGTGCATGACACATCGTCGCATTATAACAAACATTTGTGCCAAGTAATTTTAGATTCCTTTGATAAATAACAAAGTTATGGACCGGGCACGAAAATGTGACAGACGGACAGACGTACTCACAAAATGGTACTTATGTAACTATTCCTTTGATCTGAATTTAGCTCATAAAAACAAAAAATAGCTCCAAATTTGAATCTTATGAGTTTTTGTTCTTATTTAACTACAGAATGAAGCTCATAAATATCAAATGTTTACACAGACACAGACGGACGGACGTCCGGCAAAAATGGAATAAAGGGCCATTTCTTTTGTTATTTTCTATTGTTAAATAGAGGGCATATGGCCCCTTACTCTATTGTTATGCAATGAACACTATTGATCTCTTTTGTTCTGTTTACAGTTAGATGGCCCTCTATCCCTGTCCAGTAGTGCGGACAGACAGACATATGGACAGACAGACGGACAGAGCCTTTTTCTATATTCCAATTTTTTCGTGAAAAGGCGGGGGGGGGGACAATAACCCTATCCTCATAACTGAATTTTCCTAAATATTATTGTTTGTTTTATTTTCTTGTTTTTTTTTTGTTTGTTTTGTTTTGTTTTTTTTTGGTGTTTTTTTTTAAAGAGGGGATTATGGCCCTTTTACTGCTCATCTGGATAATTACAAGTATATATGCACAAGTTTACTTATAACTTTATGACAAATTAGTCGTTAACATTATTTATTTATCTTAGTGTCTTTGACCCCAATGACCTTTCATGATATTATAGTGAAAACAATTGACTTATACATCATCAATTTAATATGCAGTAAAGTGTTAACTCCTTAGTATATAATTCAATGCCAGCTAACCCATAACTGCACTAAAGTGATAGCATATCCTGATATACAGAATATTGCCCAATAACATGGATTTTCATAAAAATGTGATTTAAGTCTAAACCAAGTAAAGTTATTGATGGCAAACCTAATTAGTCCCTTGTGGTGAACCAAAATGACACTAAAAATTAGTTCTGGTCATATTTAATATTCAGGTAAATATATCATGAGGTTAAGATGAGACTCGTAATTTTATAATTAATATAACAAAAGACTTACCTGTCTCTTCATTCCCTTCATTAATATCAAGTCTTACATCATTTAACCCGACTGCAAATAAAAAACAACAAAATACTATATAAGAAACAATGCTTGGATTTTTGCTTGAGTAAAAGCTACCAGTACTTAAACACACGTAGATGACTCAGATTTGTTATAAAACTATTATATTCATACAGCAATAGATGAGTGGATTTAAATGAAATTGGGGAAATTCCTCCAAAATGGAGTTAAAATGAAAATCATTATATTTTCTGCTGCTGACAAATAAGCAATTACTGCACCCCGTTAATTTAGAATTTAATGAGGATTGTCCTAAACAGTTTATTTTTCGTGATGGCAAATTAATAAAAAGGTATTATTTTGGTCAAGATATATGGAAAACATTTTCACTCAACATGATAAAACTCGATATATTTTGACTTGCTTTACTGGCTCGTAAAAATATATAGAGGATATTTGTTTAGTTCAGTGTAAGATCGGAATATATTTCACCAAGAGAGCACCAAAAGGTATATTTCATGAGTGGCGCGGACACGAGTGAAATATGAACTTTTGGTGTTCACAAGGTGAAATATATTTGGATCTTACACTAAACTAAACAAATTTTCTTTTAATTATATGCATTGAAACATTTTAAAAAGACATTAAACCTAATACTGAATGAGAAGGGCGCCAAATAATAATACAATGCGCCGTCATTTGCAACGTCACGTCATTAAGTTGGTACACAGTACTGTGCAAGCTGGTATTTCACCGAAACATCGTAAGAGGGTTAAATTCAAAACAGTGAAATTATCAAGGTGGTAATTTCACTGTTTAAAACAGTGAAATTACCAGTTTAATATCACTGATATATTTCGTTAAACCATCGAAAAGCATGTAATAAATGGAATTTCATTAATATCCTGAAAATATATTCCATACTACATTCAAACGAAAAATTAGAGGTACATTATGGCCTTTTTCCTGCTTATTTGAATAATGCCCAAGTTTACTTATAACTTTCTGACAAAATGAAGACTGTAACATCGAAGACTGTAACATCATTTCTTTATCTTAGTGACTTTGACCCCAATGACCTCATATCTTTGATAATAATAGAGAAAACAATTGACCTCTTATGCATTGACACCTTATTGCAGTTGTGGGGGTTAACTCCTTAATATACAAGAGGGCCATGATGGCCCTGAGTTGCTCACCAGGAACAACTGCTTTTCAGTGTTGAAAATAATTTTTCAAATGAACTTGCTGAAAGGCAAGTTCCGCTCTTTCGGCAAGTTCAGCTCAACTTTAACTTGCCCCTCTAGTAATATACTTCCACAACACTGATTGTTTTTTTTCTTTTTCTTCATAATAAACAATAGGGCCACAAAGAATGCTACAGACAAAGTCTGGTGATTATCCATCAATTATTTAAGTACGAGATGATGTTCATAGGTTTTTCTATTTTTAGCTTTAGCTGCCCCTTAAAGGGGCCAATCAAATTAATATGAGCAAACTTGATAAAAGACTACCTAAGTCTGCTACAGACAAAATTTGGTTAGGAAACTACCCGCCTATATGACTGAAATACTGGTGGGAAAAGGCGTAAAATGAAACAAACAAACAAACAAAATTTGGTGATCATCTATCAATTAGTTCTGTACAAGGAGACATTAAAAGGTATTTCTATTTTTAACTTTCGCAGCCCCTAAAAGAGGCCAATCACATTAATAAGAGCAAAATTGATAAAACACTTCCTAAGAATGCTACATACAAAGTTTGGTGATCATCCATCAATTAGTTCTGTAGAACAAGATGTCTAAACGTTTTTCTTTTTTCTAGCTCAAAAGACTCCTAAAAGGGGCCAATCAAATTAAAATGAGCAAATACAAGACTACCTAAAAATGCTACAGACAAATTTTGGTGATTATCCATCATTTAATTTAGTAGTAGAAGATGTTTAAAGGTTTTAAGCTCTATTTTAAGCTCTGTTGACCCCTAAATGGGGCCAACTGTAATTATGGCATGAGCAAAATTACATAAATATGTGATTTAACTCTAAACCAAGTGGAGTTATTTCACATACATTAATGGTAAACATATATTCTGAATTAACATGGGACCAATAAATTAGTTCTGGTCATATTTGGTAATGCTCAAAATTTGAGATGAGGTAAAAAATTGAGACTTGTAATCTTATCATTAATATAACGCAAGACATACCTCTCTCTGCATTCATTTCTTCCATTTCAGCCACCGCCACTAAAAAAAACAACAAGAGGGCCATGATGGCCCTGAGGTCGCTCACCTGTATATAGGCCCCCGGAGCGGGGCCAGTTTAAACCCCAGGGCTTTTATTTGAACAAACTTGGAAGACACCCATTTGAAAATGTTTCATGATGTCATAAGTTTTTACTACACACATATAATGAAAAACAATGACCTCCGCCCCCCCCCCTGGCAGGGCCAATTTTAACCCAACGGCTTTTATTTGAACAAACTTGGTAGACACCCACAAGAAGATGTTTCATGCTACACATCTAACCTCTAGCTCATTGGGTTTTTTAAAAGAAGGTTTTTTAAGTTTTTACTATACACATATAGTTTAAAACAATGACACCTCTGAGGCGGGGCCAGTTTTGACCCCAGGGCTAGAATATGTTTCATGCTTAATATCTTAACTCTAGCTATTTGGGTTTTTTCAAAGAAGATTTTTAAGTTTTTGCCATACACATATTTAGGGAAATCAATGACCCCCGGGGCGGGGCCAATTTTGACCCCAGGGCTTTTATTTGAACAAACTTTGTAGACAATCATTAGAAGATGTTTCATGCCAAATATCTTAGCTCTAGCTCCATGGGTTCTTTAAAAGAAGATTTTTTAAGTTTTTACTATATGCATATAGGGAAAATCAATGACCCCCTGGGGCGGGGCCAATTTTGACCCAAAGGCTTTTATTTGAACAAACTTGGTAGACACTCACTAGAAGATGTTTCATGCCAAATATCTTAGCTCTAGCTCTTTGGGTTCTTTAAAAGAAGATTTTTAAAAAAAATTTTTACTATATGCATATAGGGAAAATAAATGACCCCCTGGGGCGGGGCCAATTTTAACCCAAAGGCTTTTATTTGAACAAACTTGGTAGACACTCACTAGAAAATGTTTCATGCCAAATATCTTAGCTCTAGCTCTTTGGGTTCTTTAAAAGAAGATTTTTTAAAGTTTTTACTATATGCATATAGGGAAAATCGATGACCCCCTCGGGCGGGGCCAATTTTGACCCCAGGGCTTTTATTTGAACAAACTTGGTAGACACTCATTAGAAGATGATTCATGCCAAATATCTAAGCTCTAGCTCTTAGGGTTGTTTAAAAGAAGATATTTAAAGATTTTTCTTTCAGTTGCCATGGCAACCAGAGTTCTGCATGGAATTAAATTCTTTGGACAATTTTTAAAGGTTACCACCAAAGGAACATTCCTGTGAAGTTTGGATGAAATTGGCTTAGTGGTTTATGAGGAGATGTCATTTAAAGCAAAAGTTTACGGACGGACGCCGGACGAAAAGCGATCACAAAAGCTCACCCTGTCACTTTGTGACAGGTGAGCTAAAAAAGGTACAAGTAAAATGGTTTCCTGCGGGGAACATTTTTAATGATATAAAGATATTTCATTTAACTATTTTCAACATTTTTTTTTAGGGGGGGGGGGGGGGTAAATAAACGTTTGTATCAGGAATATAGTTAACAATAATCGATCAATATAGTAGAAGGTCTTTGGAAAGTGGTGACCGTTGAAGACCGAAGAAGGCCGAAGATAAAACAATTATTTCTTTTTAAGAAAATCATTAAATAGGCCTACCATTTTATGAATAATTCCGAGCAAAAAAAATAAAGTAAACACACAAGTTTACGCAGAAAATATCTCTATTTATTATGGCAGATGCCACTACGAATATTTTAATTTTGTAGATTTTCAGTATTTGTAAAATTTGAGATAGATTTTAAAGAAACATTGATAATTTTCAAACACATCATTCAAGTTTTTGCAACCTAAACGGTAAAATTATTATAGAAAATTAGAAATATCACGTAATAGTTTATTGTTCTTAATTAGGTGTAGTTCGGAGTAATTCCCTAGAGGTAAATCCGTAACGTATCGGCAAACGGTATTTAGCTAGGTTTTCGAAAAGGTCAATTAACCAATCATGAACGGTTTACAGATCACATGCTCCTCCATGTACCGAAAACAGGTCACGTGCTCCTCCATGCCTCAAAAGTTAAACGCGTACCAATACCCTGCGGTCTCCAGACCGCAGGGAATAACCAAAATGTAATAAAGGAAACAATGCTTGGATCTTTTATCTTTATTTAAGTAAAAACTAATAGTACTTAAACACACATGGTTCAATGGAAAGGGGAAAATTCCTACAAAATGGAGTTAAAATGAAAATCATTATATTTTCTGCTGTTCCTATGCATGTACACTTAATATTACTAAATTTCTCTATATTCCTGCTTCAACTTCTAAGACCAAACAGTATGTACGGTAGTTTATGTATATTAATAACATTTATTTCACACTTTATAGAACATAACAAATGCACTCTATCATTTGCACTGTGTGATGTTTAAACATCCGAAAATCCGAAATCATTATCGGATCAAGTCTTTAAGTATCAATTAAGCCTCGTTTTCATTTCCAGAGTCCAAAAGTTTACATTAAATCCACATCACACCACATATAGCTCATATTTTAGCGTCAAAAATATCTTTATCAAATGCACATTATTTTCCATATAGCCTCATTTTCACTTTCAGACTCCAAAACCTCTATCAAATTTTTACTGTAATTAAAGTAAAATGTCAAAAATGTTCGTGTGAATTAGAGGTCTTTGAACATGATTGGCAACAATACTGGTTATTTTGGACTCGTACACAACCTCAAAACCTATATCAGACTTGGCTATTGCATCATCCAATATAGTTTTGACAGCTGTGTACTAGTACAATTGAATTCCATATTGTACTTTACAATGTATAAACATCATACTATTTGTTACAGGTGCTCTCAAAAATTTAAAAGTTATAATGAAATTGAATAAACAAATTGTTCTACATACTATCTTCCCTAGATCTGGCTCTTTTAATTTTCTTATAACATAGGCAGGAGAAATATGCAAGTATTGCAATTACAACCGATCCAACAATTACAGCTACCATGATGACAAGCTTAACAATACCTGAGAAATACAAAATAATGTTTAAATAATATTATATTTTGACAACCAATAAACTGAAATATCAAAAGAAACGAATTACATAAAATATAAAAATGCAAGCCAAATATATAGTGACAAATAACAAGAACTGTCGTAGGACAGTATTGGCTCGACTATTCGAAAATGTGTCACAAGGGTGTTTTATTGAGCATAATAATGCTAATTAACTATGAATACATCAAATTGACCGAAAAGGTACAAAGGCTTGTTATAAAGATGTTTTATCAAGTAAATTACTGCTTTATTATTATGAATGCATAAAATTGTCCCAAAAAAGGCACAAACCCTTCAGTTGAGATAACAGCTTACAAGCAAAACTTTACCGTGAATTTCTAAGTTGAAAAAGGGGAGAAAAATCAGCCTAAATGCAAGAAAGAATTATGGATCTTGGTCAGAGACCTACAATTATGACCATAATGCATATGTGAAGTTTTAAATAAATATCTTTAATAGTTATTGAGATATGTAAAACTTGCATAACTGTAAACATTAACCAAGAGACTAAGAAGAAAAGGGGAGATGAATCAGCCTAAATGCAAGACAGAGTTATGGAACTTGGTCAGTGACATACAATTATGACCCTCCAATTATGACCAAGTTCATGTATAAAGTTTCAAGTAAATATCTTTGAAGACTTTTAATCTTTAACCAAAATTTCTAAGTTTCAAAGGGGCAAATAATTCTGCAAATATTGCAGGCAGAGTTATGCAATTTTGAAAACTGATGTACATTGTTACTATAAAAAAGTATTGTAAATTTCAATTGAATATCTCAAGCAACAAGATATGTTTGTAAAACATGTATGCCCCCTATCAGCAGCCATTTAGTCATGTGATAAGGTTATTATGCATGACTTCTGACCCAGTGATCAAACAATTAAGAAGGGTTATAAAGTATCTACTGGTCATGACCTTAACCTTTGACCCCTTGACCCAAAACTCAATAGGGGTCATCTGCTGGCCATGACCAATCATCATACAAAGTTTGAAGTTCCTAGGCCTAAGCGTTTTTAGTTAATTGATTGGATACAGTTTTTACCTACAAGGTCAATGTGACCTTGACCTTTGACTCCTTGACCCCAAAATCAATAGGTCATCTGCTGGTCATGACCAATCACCATACCAAGTTTGAAGTTCCTAGACCTAAGGCTTCTTTAGTTATTGATCGGAAACCATTTAACATACAAGGTCAATGTGACCTTGACCTTTGACCCCAAAATCAATAGGGGTCATCTGCTGGTCATGACCAATCCCATGCCAAGTTTGAAGTTCCTAGGCCGAAGCGTTCTTTAGTTATTGATCAGAAACCGTTTTTACTTACAATGTCAATGTGACCTTGACCTTTGACCCCTTGATCCCAAAATCAATAGGGGTAATCTGCTGGTCATGACAAATCACCATACCAAGTTTGAAGTTCCTAGGCCTAAGTGTTCTTAAGTTATTGATCATAAACCGTTTTTTCTTACAAGGCCAATGTGACCTTGACCTTTGCCCCTTGACCCAAAACTCAATAGGGGTCATCTGCTGGTCACGACCAATCATCATACAAAGTTTGAAGTTCCTAGGCCTAAGCATTTTTAGTTAATTGATCGGAAACCGTTTTTACCTACAAGGTCAATGTGACCTTGACCTTTGACCCCTTGACCCCAAAATCAATAGGTCATCTGCTGGTCATGACCAATCACCATACCAAGTTTGAAGTTCCTAGGCCTGAGGGTTCTTAAGTTATTGATTGGAAAGCATTTTAACCTACAAGGTCAATGTGACCTTGCCCTTTGACCCCTTAACCCCAATATCAATAGGGGTCACCTGCTGGTCATGACCAATCACCATACCAAGTTTGAAGTTCCTAGGCCTAAGGGTTCTTTAGTTATTGATCGGAAACCGTTTTTACCTAAGAGGTCAATGTGACCTTGACCTTTGACCATTTGACCCCAAAATCAATAGGGGTCATCTACTGATCATGACCAATCACCATATCATGTTTGAAGTCCCTATGCCTTATGGTTTTTTCGTTATTGATCGGAAACCGTTTTTACCTACAAGGTCAATGTGACCTTGACCTTTGACCCCTTAACCCCAAAATCAATAGGGGTCATCTGCTGGTCATAACAAATCACCATACCAAGTTTGAAGTTCCTAGGCCTAAGGGTTCTTTTGTTATTGATCAGAAACCGTTTTTACCCAAGACGTCAATGTGACCTTGACCTTTGACCCCTTGACCCCAAAATCAATAGGGATCATCTACTGATCATGGCCAATCACCATACCAAGTTTGAAGTTCCTAGGCCTTAAAGTTCTTTAGTTATTGATCGGAAACCGTTTTTACCTACAAGGTCAATGTGACCTTGACCTTTGACCCCTTAACCCCAAAATCAATAGGGTTCATCTGCTAGTCATAGCCAATCACCATACCAAGTTTGAAGTTCCTAGGCCTAAGGGTTCTTTTGTTATTGATCAGAAACCGTTTTTACCCAAGAGGTCAGTGTGACCTTGACCTTTGACCCCTTGACCCCAAAATCAATAGGGATCATCTACTGATCATGACCAATCACCATACCAAGTTTGAAGTTCCTAGGCCTTAAAGTTCTTTATTTATTGATCGGAAACCGTTTTTACCTACAAGGTCAATGTGACCTTGACCTTTGACCCCTTAACCCCAAAATTAATAGGGGTCATCTGCTGGTCATAACCAATCACCGTATCAAGTTTGAAGTTCCTAGGCCTAAGGGTTCTTTTGTTATTGATCAGAAACCGTTTTTACCCAAGAGGTCAATGTGACCTTGACCTTTGACCCCTTGACCCCAAAATCAATAGGGGTCATCTACTGATCATGACCAATCACCATACCAAGTTTAAAGTTCCTAGGCCTTAAAGTTCTTTAGTTATTGATTGGAAACTGTTTTTGCTTACAAGGTCAATGTGACCTTGACCCTTGACCCCAAAATCAATAGGGGTCATCTACTGATCATGACCAATCACCATACCAAGTTTGAAGTCCCTAGGCCTAAGGGTTCTTTCGTTATTGATCGGAAACCGTTTTTACCTACAAGGTCAATGTGACCTTGACCTTTGACCCCTTGACCCCAAAATCAATAGGGGTCATCTACTGATCATGACCAATCACCATACCAAGTTTGAAGTTCCTAGGCCTTAAGGTTCTTTATTTATTGATCGGAAACCGTTTTTACCTACAAGGTCAATGTGACCTTGACCTTTGACCCCTTAACCCCAAAATTAATAGGGGTCATCTGCTGGTCATATCCAATCACCGTACCAAGTTTGAAGTTCCTAGGCCTAAGGGTTCTTTTGTTATTGATCAGAAACCGTTTTTACCCAAGAGGTCAATGTGACCTTGTCCTTTGACCCCTTGACCCCAAAATCAATAGGGGTCATCTACTGATCATGACCAATCACCATACCAAGTTTAAAGTTCCTAGGCCTTAAAGTTCTTTAGTTATTGATTGGAAACTGTTTTTGCTTACAAGGTCAATGTGACCTTGACCCTTGACCCCAAAATCAATAGGGGTCATCTACTGATCATGACCAATCACCATACCAAGTTTGAAGTCCCTAGGCCTAAGGGTTCTTTCGTTATTGATCGGAAACCATTTTTACCTACAAGGTCAATGTGACCTTGACCTTTGACCCCTTGACCCCAAAATCAATAGGGGTCATCTACTGATCATGACCAATCACCATACCAAGTTTGAAGTTCCTAGGCCTTAAGGTTCTTTAGTTATTGATCGGAAACCGTTTTTGCTTACAAGGTCAATGTGACCTTGACCTTTGACCCCTTGACCCCAAAATCAATAGGGGTCATCTACTGGTCATGACAAATCACCATACCAAGTTTGAAGTTCCTAGGCCTAAGGGTTCTTTAGTTATCACTCGGAAACCATTTGGTCTACGGACCGACGGACCGACGGACCGACAAGTGCAAAGCAATATACCCCCTTTTCTTCGAAATGGGGGCATAATAAATGAGATATTTGACTTTACAAAAAACTTTAACCAAAATTTCTAAGTTAAAAAGGGGCATAATTCTGTCAATATTGTAGGCAGAGTTATCCAACTTGTCAATCTGATGTACATTGTTACTATAAATAAGTATTGTAAGTTTCAATTGAATATCTCAAGCAATAATTGACGTGGACGCCGATGCAGGGGCAACTACAATAGCTCTCATATTCTTTGAATAGTCGAGCTAAAAATGATCTAAAAATCATTGTATTTCATATAATGATTCAAAATATAAAAGTAATTCTCAGGAATGGACAAAAAGACTCTCACTTAGAAAATCTAATGATTTACTCCTCCCTGCAAAAAAGATGTCCAGATAGGTCATACTGTGATACACGATGAATGTATAATACACAGGTGTGCAAATGACCCTTATTAAAGGCAAAATAAATCTAAGTTTTGCAGGGTATTGTAAAAGATTTAATATGAAACCGTCTGTTATCAATCTAAGTTATCCATTCTCTAAATATAACAAGGGCAACATTGTCACAAAATAGGCCTGTCACAAAAGCATTTGACAGATATGGGCATTAAAGATATGCAAAAAAGAGATTTGTGTTGGGAAATATCCGGAAAATATCTGGATATTTTACCATCTATACTGACCTTGACCTTGAAAATACTAACCTAAATTACATGTGTCACATTTGTAGTCATGACAGTTATCATTTGAGTAACAATCCATCAATAAATGATGACTAAATGGTCCCTGTACACAAACTTTGACTTTGGTATTTGGGACCTGGATTATGTGCGCAATAAGCCTCACAATGATGATCATTTGTGCCAAGTTATATTGAAATCCCTCTATGCATGTAGAAGTTTTGTGACCTTGACCTTGCATTTATTAACCTAAATTACATGTTTCACACCTGAGTGGTTATGATAATGACCTTTTGTGTTTCAATCCCTCAATAAATGAGGACTAAATTGTCTAAATACACATTTTTGTATTTTTATCTGAACTTTAACCCCTATGTATGACCTTAACCTTGGCAGCAGGCACTCCACCTCACATTATGGTGAACATCTGTGCCAGTTATATTGAAATCCCCCTATGCATGTAGAAGTTTTGCTCTGTGCGTTTTTTATGACCTCTAATTGTGACCTTGACCTTTGACCTGACTCATATGCTTGACACAGTTTCTCAGTGGTGAACACTTCAATGAAGTTTCATTAAAATTCCTCCATGTGTATAGGAGATAATTGCTCCTTACAAAAATTGGACGCTGCAGCCCGAACGACTGCCCGCAAAGGGGGAAAACTGTAAAACAACGCGTTTTTAAACAGGCGTATAAAAAATGTTAAAATATAAGGGGTTTTTAGCAATATGTCAATTCATACTGAATTATTAATGTTGTGGTGTACAGAAGGCATTCTAAAACTAAGGCAAATAATACTGTTGTAGGTGCTTAGGGTGTTATAATAAATAATAAATACAAATTGCAAGAACTTTTTTTCACATTTGAGCTAAAATAAATACGTTTTAAATAATCATCATCGTGACAAAATATAGTTAATACAATATTAATACTTACTTTCAGGTTCAATGATTTTAGGTTCAATTACAGGAGCTGAAAAAAAAACAAAAAACAAATACAATATAAAGACATCATTCATGACACCAATTCAGTATCTTTTAACATAAACACTATCATTTTACATTGCTTTCACAAAAACATTATACATTTATTTTCCTGCTGTGTAGACAATATATATATTTCAATTTAAAAACTTGTAAATAATATTTGTTTTTGTGTTTAACTTCAAATGGTAACTCAAGTTTCAGTCAGTTTTTGTTTACTCTTCATAAACTTCAAAACAATTACATTGTTACAAACTTTTTCACATTTGTAAAAGACAGTTGCACAGGCAAAATCGAGCGCTTCACGGAATGCATTTGACACCCCCGACCGACACACAAACCGATATAAACCCACCACTGTAGAACAATAAGCCAACATTTATAATATTCCCTGATGGAATTGTCAGAGGCTGCAATCACTTGACTTGAAGTTCAGATACATAATACCTTGTTTTAACATGACAATTTTTTTTCAATTTTGCAGGGCATTAACCTATGCCAATGGCATGCACAGTTTAAAAATTGACCTTTGTGTTATGTTGAGTAGGATGTCAATAAACAGAGAGAAGCTGCTATTTTTATATTACTTTTTTACTGTTGCATGCCTCCAGATAAACCAAACTATTTTAGGGAAAATTAAATTTGAGAAAAATGAACTAAGATTTTAAGGAAAGAAAGAGATTCAAGATTCAAGTAATAATTTACATGTTATGTGTGATTAGTGACTGATTCTGCAGTATTTTTCACTATATTTCTACTTTGTAACTAACACAGTAAGGGCTTTTTTTGCATATTTTGACCTTTTTTGATAATTTACATGGATCTAAAGTGCTATTTGCAATCTGTAAATGACTTTCTTTGTTCACTTGTCAATATTTTACTTTTAAATATATTTTTCATTTTTTTTTGAAAATAATCATGAACCTGGAGGCATGCTGCTTTATGTCATCTGACATTTAAATCCTTCCATCATTATTTCTTTACAAAGACAACATGCTTATTAAACAGCTGCAGCCATGCTGTTTTTTTGTACTACTATGCAGATACAAATAATGCACATGACAAAAATGTAGTTATGAGTTTTGGATAATGACCAACAAATTTTTTGAAGTTTAAAAAGGGTTTGATTTCATTCAAAATACATGTCAGAGTTATGGGCCTTGGAAACTGACCTCGAGTTATGATCAGAAAGGGATGTATTAAGTTTTAAGTGAATACCTTCAGTAGTTTTGATGACTGAAGTTGCATGCAAATCGTTAACCAAGAATTTTCTAAATTTAAAAAGGGCCACTGAATTATGTCAAAATCTTTGCTAGCCTTAGATACTGTTCTCTTATTATAAATGTGCCAACAAATATCATTAGTGGTTGATGAGATATTATGTTGCATGCAAAACTTTAGCAGTGAGTGTTAGGCCAAAAACACAAGCAGGTGCCCAGATGTGTAGGATAGCCCTACTATTCTTCAAAAAGCTGAATTAATCTCCAAGATAAAAACTGTTCTCTATGATAATTCACTAACTTCTAACAGTTTTTTTTACAGGTAACATATATGCATGATAAATTAACTTTTCACATACCTTCACATTTTTGCCACGTTGATGCTGGTTGTACTTCCCACTGGAGCGACTCATTGCAGTAATACTGCCAGTCCAACCTCTCAGTTATATTACACACAAGTGCACACTTAAAATACACTGAGTAATTAACAAAACTGTAACCTGGATCACAGACCCACTCATGGTTTTTTGTCTTGTTTATTTCTGGTGGTGGTCCACACCCTGTGTAAAAGTAATTAAACAAGCAAATTCGTTGAATTTATATCCCCCATCGAGTACTGGTTATTACTAACACAACAACTGAAGACATAAGGCTTTTTTATATATTTATAATGGCATAAACAGTAATATTCTTAGAACATAATAAATATTCAGGGAAATAACAGAACCTTAATTAACTCAGAGTCAAATACATGTAGTAATATCTAAACATGGCAATGAGATGTAAATTGCATTTTTGCATCTAAGTTCCCATAATGTTTTGTTGAAATCAATACAGCAGTTGCAAAGAAATAGCAATATTGCTCTATATGTATACTACATAACTAATCAAAGGCCATAACTCTGTAATGAAGGGTCTGGTCTGAACAAGGCAACAAAGTATGCACATCTCATCTTGGTATTAATGGTTCCTATAAAGTTTAATTGAATTCCAACAAGTTGTTGCAGAGAAGTAGCTCTAAATGCATACTGCATAACTAATCAAGGGCCATAACTCTGAGTAAATGTCTGACCAGAACAAGGCGATGATATGCACATCTCCTCTTGGTTTTGAAGGTTCCATAAAGTTTGTCCTATATACATACTGCATAACTAATCAAGGGTCATAACTCTGAGCTGAAGTGTCTGACCGGAACAATGCGACAATATTCCCATCTCCTCTTGGTATTAAAGGTTCCCATAAAGTTTCGGTTAATTCCAACAAGTTGTTGCCGAAAAGAAGCATGGAAATAATTATTGCTCTATATGCTTACTGCTTAACTTATCAAGGGCCATTACTCTGAGTTAAAGGGTCTGACCGGAACAAGCTGACGATATGCGTATCTCCTGTTAATATTGAAGGTTCCCATAATGTTTCATTGAATTTCAGCCAGTAGTTGCTGAGGAGTTGCACGGAAACAATTATTGCACTATATTATACTGCATAAGTAATCAAGGACCATAACTCTGAGTTAAAATGTCTGACCAGAACAAGGCGACTATATGCACATCTCATCTTGGTATTGAAAGTTCCCATAAAGTTTCGCTGAATTCCAGCCAGTAGTTGCAGAGAAACAGCATGGAAACAATTATTGCTCTATATGCATACTGCATAACTTATCAAGGACCATAACTCTGAGTTAAAGTGTCTGACCGAAACAAGCTGACTATATGTGCATCCCCTTTTATATTGAAGGTTCCCATAAAGTTCTTTGAATTCCAGCCATTTGTTGCTGAGAAGCGGTTGGAAACGATTTTTGCTCTATATGCACAATGCAAAACTAATCAAGGGCCATAACTCAAGTTAAAGGGTCTGACCAGAACAAGGCGACGATATGCTCATCTCCTCTTGGTATTAAAGGTTCCCATAAAGTTTCATTGATTTCCAGCCAGTAGTTGCTGAGAAGTAGCGCGGAAACGATTTTTGCTCTATATGCATAATGCAAAACTAATCAAGGGCCATAACTCTTGAGTTAAAAGGTCTGACTGGAACAAGACAACGATATGGGCATCTTCTCTTGATATTGATAATTCCCATTAAGTTTCATTAAATTCCAGCCAGTAGATGCAGAGAAATAGCGTGGAAACAAAATTCGGAAGGATGGAAGGACAACGCAAAAACAATATCCCCGGATCTATCGGCGGGGGATAATAATCTACCTAACGAGATTCATTTAAAAACAACAATTAACTTGTTAGTTGTTTAACTACTTAAATGGACTTGTCCAGCTTCTGTTTTTCAAACTGTCCATTATGAAAAGTTGAAGTAAGCAGACAGTATAGAGCCTGCTCTGCCACTATGGATGGTTCAGGCTAGCTTAATTCATCATATCTCCGAGTGTGGAGTTCAAATCTACAGAGGGGAAAAAATTCAGTCCAGTAACTCTAACCACTTTGACACCTGGACTTAAAAAAATTATAATTATATCAAAGTGACTAACCAGGAACCTCTCCTTTGTCACACAATGGATACTTTGAACTTGCATTCTCCTGGGGTAAAATCACTTCAGCAATGTTTTTTCCGTGGTATTTCTCTCCACACTTGTATTGCCGGGCATCATGATATTCACTATTTAGCAGAGCCTCTAATGGGCAGTACCTACAGTACTTTGGGTCCCCAAACTGTGGTTGATATATGCTGAAAGTATAATATTATAAATAATAAATTTATTAAACATGTATCAACTACCAATAAACAAAAATAGGAAATGGCATTCATAGATAAATTAATTGTTAAATTAGCTCAAAAATTAAATCTGAAGTATTTTCTGTTCATAGTTCTTGTGACTTAGATTATAATAGAGTTGTACCCCTCTGAAACAGGTCACTTATAATGCAGGTATCCCTATCAGACTACAAGTCCACCATTTAATTTTATTTTTAATGTTGAGAATTTAATGCCCTCAAGCCGATTATAGGGTGTGTAAAGAGTTGTTGCACTTAAATTAAAACTGAGTTTGCAATAGAGATATTCTGGTACTCGACAAAACTTTTTTACTCCATATTAAAGCCATCTCACACAGAACACATGACTTAAACGGTTGGCCACTTGTGTAAACAGTACATACAAACGAACCAACCTTGAGTCTATCCGAGTTACACTTGGGCCATTTGAGTGTATCCGTGTAAGCTGTGTATGATTTTTAAAACAACTGGTACGGATTGAAACAACTGGTACGGATTTTATGTCTGTGTATGATTGTATAAACCACCATACAAGACCGTAAGAGACCCTGTGAGACTGTATGAGACCGTATATACAATCTTATTTGAAGACCACTCCACGAATGAGCTCAACTGTGCCAAGATCGTATATAAATCGAATGGAATCATCTGAGACCTTCCCCAAGTCCTACTTCTAACACACGAATAACACCTGAATGTCACACCATCACAACACAATTCACACAAGTGCACACAGTTTCATACCTTCATCAAACGACCAATATGGTTCAAGTACGAATCATAAATGGCAGACACGGTATAGTACGGATATACAGGGTCTCACTTAGCCTCGTACCATCTTACACGGCCCCTACGTCAGCACAAACTGTACAAAACGAGAACCGGTTGAACCAGGTGATGCTCCCCGAGAAGGTTCTGAACACAGGAATGTATAAAAAAATGAACAAAGGGCAAAAACTCCAAAATTAGGCAAAGCGGAGTTATGTTTTTTTGCAAAGTGTAAAGTGTAAAATTCAAAGTGTAAAAATGAACAAAGGGCAATAACTCCAAAATCAGACCAGGCTTTGTTAAGGTTCTTTAAGCATTTCAGTTCTATCCAATGATATCTAGCTACCTACAAAGTTTCATGTTGATATCTCTAATAGTTTTAAAGTTATGTCCCGGACAAAAGTCAAAAAGTAAAAATAAACAAAGGGCAATAACTTCAAAATAAGGCAAGGCAGAGTAATGATTCTTAAGCACTGCACTTCTACCCAATGAGACCTATCTATCTACAAAGTTTCATGTTGATATCTCTTATAATTTTAGAGTAATGTCCCAGACAAAGTTCAAAGTGAACAAAGGGCAATAACTCCAAAAGTAGGCAAGACAGTGTTACAGTTCTTGTGCACTGCAAACCTACTTAATGAGATCTATCTACCTACAAAGTTTCATGTTGATACCTCTTAAAGTTTAAGAGTTATGTCCTGCACAAAATTCAAAGTGTGAAAAAAAACAAAGGGGAATAATTAAAAAATTAGACAAGGCAGAGTTACGGTTCTTGTGCACTGCACACCTACTCAATGAGATCTATCTACCTACAAAGTTTCATGTTGATACCTCTTGTTGTTTCAAAGTTATGTCCCGGACCTGAAATTTTTTGGGGAGCATAAAAAAGCACAACTTCCTGATGCCACCCTCAACTGCTAAATTTACAGTACTTGCTGCATCATACTAGAATGCACTTAAAAAACCCTGCCGAGTCTGATGAGCTGGGGGGACCCACCAATGTCTATCAGTCTTATCATGATTTCTTATTCATTTATCCTGTCATCTGTTGCATCTGGCATTGTTTATTTAACTATTATTCACTTACAAAGGTGTTCTTTGTTGAAAGTTCGAAAATTTATGAAGCCAAACCATCAGAATGGGTCAATCTATATCAAAACATACATGAATATGTGATAACTCGAACAAAAGTCGGCGGGATGGTACCCTATGTAAACCCTGTGAAAGTCGAGTAAATCAAGTAATTTGTGTTTAATCATACCAGACTGTACTAGACCGTACTTTGAACCATACAACATTCAAATGTATTCGTATGCCAATCATGTTCAAACCTTGCTTGACCGGGAATATATATCCATCCTTTATTCGTACAATTGCTTGTGCTACATTCGAGTCTAACTCGTGCCAACTTTCCCCAGGCATGGTTGGTGCTAAATACCCGTACCAGTCAATCAGTATTAACCGAGTATACCGTATCATCAATGGGAACCGTGTGCCCAACCGTGTTCTGTGTGAGACGGGCTTTATGATAGCCTTACCATGTTACATGTAAATATCTCAAATGAACTTGTACATCTTTCAATCTGGACAAAACCATTCATCATTTTAAGGGAAAATTTCAAATATTTACAGACTGAATGGTGAACAGTGCAGACCATAACTGCACTGACTGATCTTGGTCTGCTCATATGATCAGAATGATTTTATTGCTTGTTTGTTTGTTTTGGGTTTTACGTCAAATTGACACAGTATAGGTCATATCACGACGTTCCAGCTTTGCTGGTGGAGGAAGACCTCAGGCGCCCTTCTGTGCCTTATTTCAGGCACGAACGGGCACCTGAGTAGAACCCAACGGGACGTTCCGTAAGCTTAGATCCAGAATGAATTTCACAGACCAGACAAACAGACACAATTACAGACAGAGTTTAAAATGAATATTTAGTTTATACAAATTTACTTTAGTTTGAACCAGTACTGGCAAGCTATAAGCTTATTTGAAAAAAAACTCGCTCAAATCCTTTCCTGAAAACCAACCAGTTACTAAGCAAATGAATTGTAAAGTGTGCTTCCTTAAGGAAAACAACGGCTTTTATCCCCAGACACGGTTTAACCCATGGCAGTCAGCAATCCAAAATAGATTACTAGTCTAAACAACATTTAACCACTCGGCAACGCTTCTCTAGAATGATATATTGCCAAAGCATTGGGGTAATGTTGAATATTTTCAAACACTTACTATTTCGTGGCTCGTGTTTCATAGGATCCCATGAGAGATATTTAATATTTATTAATCCTTTTTTTTGCAGTAAAATTGTTTCAAACACTAGGATTAAACGCTCAATGATGGCTTACAGCCCCGGAGTAACGGGTCATCTGTTATTGTTCAGTCTGGTGGAAATAAGTAAAATAAAACTTTTTACATTCAAAATCATTAAATTCACACTAGAATTATAGATAAATTCATTGGAACAAAAAGTCAATTATTTTATTTATTTAACAGTGACTATGCCTGTATAAGTGTAAATGGCTTAAGTGCACAGATGAAAGTTTAGCTCTGGCTTATAAAACTTAATAATTTTATAAGTCGCTTTATTATTTTTTTTTTCTTTTGTCTCAGATGTGGCATGTCCATAGTATATAATTGGTACGCTGAAGACCTTAACCTAAGTGAAAGTCAAAATAACTTTACATTTTGCCATTATTGTGTTCTATTTTTTAGTTTACTATGCTAAAATAATCAATAATCCACATGACCCATGGAAATTTCTAAAAATATCATTCAGAATCCATCGGTAATGTTCATTTTTTAAAAAGTTTTTTCTTGAACATACTGTATCTGACAGTGACAGTACTTAATAACTTTTACAGAACGACTTTTAGGAAAGACACAACAACAAAAATTTTCATCCAACATAAAACGAGTTTGATATAAAATGTACATGCTTATATATGTCAGGTCAATAAACATATATATATATATAACTTAGACAATGTGATATTAAGTTTGACATTTGAATCTCAACATTATAAATCAACTCTTTCCGCTCATATTTAGGATAGTGCTTGACTGCATTCACCAACAAAACACTTAAATTATTACATTCAACACTTGACATAAAACCAATCTTATACAGAAAAATACAATCACAGTTTCTTTTTAAAGTTTCACCTTTCGACAGCATATAAGCAAAAATTAAACTAGAATTATTATTATGTATTTACTATATATTTGATAATTATTTAATTAATAATAACAACAACACATATTATGATATTTGCTAATTGCTACCAAATTCAAAATAACAAACTGTAAATTTATAAAAGTCCGGGCTGCAGATAACATGCGTATTTGCATAATTATCCAATTACAAGAGCGATCAGTAATCACATGTGTCGCCTCATGATGGCCAATTTCATGTTGGGACAAAGTTTGTGACAGACAGACAGTGCACAACTAGACTTGGTACTGATCATTCCTGTAAAGTTTGGATAAAATTGCACCAGTAGTTTATGAGGAGTAGTCCGGACAAGCTTTTTGCGTATCTGGCAACACACAGAAAAAACACCTTTTTATCAAAGGGCCATAACTCGGCCAAAAATCATTCAACCGGAAAACCCGTGCAATATGCGCAAGGACTTGAGTTACAGATCAATCCTGTAAAGTTTCATTGAAATTGCTTAAGTGGTATAAGAGAAGTAGTCCGGACAAACTTTAAAAATAAAAATTATTAAAGGGCCATAACTCTGACAAAAATCATTGAACCGGAAAATGCTGATAATATGCACAACTACCCTTGGTACTGATCATTCCTGTAAAGTTTAGATGAAATTGCACCAGTAGTTAATGAGGAGTAGTCCGGACAATCTTTTGTGTATCTGGCAACACACAGAAAAATACACCTTTTTTATCAAAGGGCCATAACTCGGCCAAAAATCATTCAACCAGAAAACCCTTGCAATATGGGCAAGGACTTGAGCTACAGATCAATCCTGTAAAGTTTCATTGAAATTGCTTTAGTGGTGTATAAGAGAAGTAGTCCGGACAAACTTTAAAATTGAAAATTATTAAAGGGCCATAACTCTGCCAAAAATCATTGAACCGGAAAATGCTGACAATATGCACAACTAGACTTGGTACTGATCATTCCTGTAAAGTTTGGATGAAATTGCACCAGTAGTTTATGA